CTCTCTCTCTCTCTCTCTCTCTCTCTCTCTCATCACCCGCGACCTCACGCGCATTGCCACCAACACGACCGGACTCGCCAGACGCATGAAACCCACAGGCAGCCCGTTCCGCTCACAGCACGCCCGACTCCGCGCCCGCCGTGTCCCGCTCCGCTCACATCACCCGCGACCTCGCGACGCGCTCACGCACAAACACAAACGACCAAAAAAAAAAAGGAACCGACCGTCTTTTCTCGGCAGATGCACCCCTGGGCACCTTACCCAGCGAACTGACACCCCCACACGCTGCCACGATGCCCGTCGCAAATACGGTCACCCCCCCGCGCAGGCCCCCGCGAACTGACGCGCCCTCCTCGGTTCCCTGCGGCACTCCGCGCGAAACTCCGCTATCCGGAACACCGGGTCAACTGCCCGAATTCGGCCGGCGACGAGCGGCGCATCTGGAATCTTCAAAGGGGGGAAAAAAAAAATTAGGAGGACCCGAAAGAACACTCCCGGCCGTCGAGATTGGCGGGCAGGCAGGTCGGACGGCCGGATAGAACTTTTGCGAATTGGCCAGGCGCGGATTCTCGAAAGCTCTACCCGGCCGTCCAACCCGCCTGCCCGCCGATCCCAACGGCCGCGAGTGTTCGTTGGGCCCCGCCGCCAGTCCCAACGTTTTTCCCAACACTCGGAGCAGGGTTTCGCGGGGGCGTGACTGGCCGGTAGGACCGGTCCGGTTCCGGTTGGGGGAGGGCCCCCTGGTCCTACCGGTTTTACAGTACTGACCTGGTTGATATTTCTCGTTAAACCACCAGTGCAAACAGCCTTCATCTCAATGGACGCCACACTTTCAATGTAAGGCTCACATCCAGCCTGTTCGTTATGTATGGCACGGGGAAATATGCTCTGTTGCACTAGTGCTTGAACCGAAAGGGGAAAAAAAAGGAACAGAAAATGCTGAACAGTGATGATGATACATGTGGTTGATCTCTTCTACTGGGAGCATCGACTTCATACTATGGATTTTCATTCTTTTCTGCTCTGCAGCTCGTGGAAAAGGTTTTGTTGGCCTTCTGAATACGAGACTCATCCTGTGTAATCACTGCATCTTTTCGTCTTGTTCTGAGTTTCTGTTTCTTTTCTTCGTCTTTTTGTCTTGGTCATACTTCATTTCTTCTCTCTCTCCCTTTCCCCCCAACCCAACCCAAGGAAACACTCCAATCTACTGGTGGGGAGCAACACCTGCGAAGAACAAGGCTTCCAGCATCCCATGAAAAACAGTTACTTAACACCCTGCACAGAGAACCCAGAGTGAATGGATGCCAGCGTTCGTCCCCCCAGGGAGTCATGACATACGCTAAGCATCCAGGGAAGAAGAAAGAGCACCCAGCACAGCTGGTGGTTGAATGGTTGCAGACAGAGCCGAGATATTCAAGACCTCGCTTCACTAGTTTCAAAATTCAAATCCATAAAGTGTCGGCAAGTTCTGAAATGTGGGGCCTGAGAAGGTGGAGTTCCAGCATGGTGGGGTATGGGTCGGCTACATCACAGGGTAAGTGGCCACTTGCTATTGGAGGTTGCCATGGGTTAAGAAGGCTGTAATTGGGTTTGGGCGATACATACACAAAGTCAAACGAAACGACCCCAGAAATTGTGAGAAAAGAAAAAAAGAAAAGGAATTTGGAATTTCAGAGTGATGAAACATTTACACCCGATGAAAACTCCACCAATACAGTAAAGCAATCGAAGAGATTACTCCAGAGAGAAGCAATCCACAATGAAACCCCTCAAGTACACTAAAGCAATCAACAAATGATTGAATTAAGATGACAAGTCGCTCTCTTTTGTTGCTGATGATCCTCTATCTTGCAGGTGTTAAGAATTCAAGATGGCAAACTGGTGGAACCTGAGCAAGGATCTCCTCGTGCTGGTGGAGAAACGGACCCTTGCGAAAAATATGTCGAACAAGTAAGTTGCAACGAACCTCTTAGTTCAACACCAGTGAGCGCACAAATTCACACCACATGCATGCATCAGATCACACGAAGTTCACGCTGGAGACCAGAGAGATTAAGACCAGGTAGCGCAGCTTAAGAATTCCAACAAGTTATTACAAGAGCAATAAGAGTTCTAGTCACCAGCGCTCACCAGCGCATACCAAAGGTAACCAGTAACCAGCATAAGCTCTCAGGCAAGTATCTCTTTCCCACTGCTCTTCTCTATTATGTATCTCTCCTCCTTGCTGGTCTTCTCCCTAGCTATGTCCTCGCTGTGTCTTCTCTCCCTACATGCGTGCACACTCAGTAACTTCTACTCAAGGATCTACTCTGAATACACCCACTGATATGGCTACTAAGTTCTAACCCTCTGAAGACTACTACGATCTACTAACTCTCTGCACTGGCGCAGCTATGGCTGCCTTCTCCCTGCTAACGCTAACACTTCCTCTCTCTCTCTCTCTCTCTCTCTCTCTCTCTCTCTCTCTCTCTCTCTCTCTCTCTCTCTCT